AATAACCTCGCTTGATCGACTAGGGTAACAATTTCGGTTTTTACTCCTGGCAATATGAGCTTTTTTCCTTCAATCAAACTGTTCATAACTTCTATCATACGCTTAAGAAATATTAATTGATCTAAAAACTTATCAACATATTTTTGATTATTCTGAGTTCAGTCCTAGGCTCTGATGCGAAAATTTTTTTTTTCTTTTTTAGATCAAATTTGACCGAGGCTTTCAGACATAGTTTACCAGTTACGTCAACCTTTTATTCATATTCATATAACTAATTTGGTTGACATGTAATTAAATTTTTTGTAGTAACTTTTTTAAGCCTTGATAACCCTAGTCGATCAAGGGAGGTTATCTTGCAAGATCTTGCAAGAACCTTGCAAGACTCTTTTGAAGAGGATAAATATCATTAAAAGATCTTGCAAGATTCTTGCACAATCTTGCAAGATGACCTCCTTGGAAGACAACCTTTCTTAAGCAAGATCCGAAAAAATACATTTTATGGGCAAAAACAGCTTTACACGCGAAGACAACCAAGTAGCGTTCGTGGAAGAAGGAATCAATCTTAGCTACGCATACATACACACAGCTCGCTAGCCGGTTGCCCCCAGAAAGCTTAATCTCTCAAAACAGTAAAACACAAGTTACATCAATTGAGAACATAAATTTAAAGAAATAATTACAAGCAAAGATTAGAACAAGATTAATTTTTTTTAATTAAGTTTTTTTTTCACACAATACGTCAATCGAGATGAACTGATGGATTCACCATTAAATCTTCAGCAGACACATTTGAGGAGAAGTCGTTTGTGATGACAGATTCTCCTTCCTAGAACATAGGCGATCGAAGGTTGCAAAAGAGTAATGACCGCAATTAAATATACAAAAAAAACTGACGTTGTTCAAAAAGTCTCAACTTTCAAAACTCAAATACAAACATAGACGCCCTTTAAGCTCTTTGAACTTATAGAACGATCTATACTAGAGCTTTTTTAATAACATTAGCCAAACTTGGGAAAACTGGATCAATAGGTAAAAAAATTTTTCTGCTGGAAATCTGGAAATTAAACTCCACTCTCGAAACTACGAATTGTTCACGAAATTTTGCGCCATTTGCAAGCTCATCTTTGAAGAGTGCTTTTTACGTCACTTTCAGCAAATGAACTTCAAGTGATCTCAAAAAGTGCATATATAACTGAGTGCATCAATATTTTAAGACTTTTACCTGAAAAAAAAAACTAGCAAGACCTATATAAAAGACTTCGCTACGTTGATTACTCTTAAAAACAAATGAGGGAGTCTTTAAGTCATGCCGCCAAAAATAAATACGGAAACGTTATCAAGACAGAAAAAAAGCAACAACAGCACGAAAAAAAAATAAGAACCACTCAACCCCCATGGATTGCATTTTTGTTCCCTTATGAGGCCAAACTGTGCACTAGTTAGGTGCACGTTTTTTTGTCTGCTTGTTCCTAATTTCCAGAGACAATCCTTCAAAGCCTGTTAAATTTTTTTCGGAAAGATCACAGAGAAAGAAAGAACAATAGATGAACAAAGGTAGCATCTTTGTTGCGAATCCCCTTAGAATTCGCAAAATACACAGTTTGGTCTCGTAATGTTTTAGGAAAAATATATGTTTTTTTTTCAATTAAAGTATGATTAAATTGACATAAATTCAGACTCAATAAAAAACTAAAAAATTAATTGATCAATTTTTTTTTGATTGGAGAAACAAATTAAATTCTGAAATTACTTGAATTTTTTTTTGACTTTGGGAAAGTTTGAATCGTTCAAAACAGAACACATATGATTCATCGAGAGCACAATCTGCACAAGTTTTAACAATTGAAATTAACAGTTATGAATAAAAAATTAAATTTTTCTTCAGAGCAACTCAACAAAGTTTTCTGTTTCATCTTTCGACATTTCGACATATTCTAAGGGTGATTTTTTTTTCACACTCTTTCCATTTGAAACACTGAGACAAAAAAAATTCCAGTTTTTTTTCTGTTTGCTATGCAAAATCTCAAGCACCAACAAAGGGAGATGATGATTTTGAAAACTTTTCAATGCCAATGTTTTTGCGTAATTATGCAACTCTGATTTGAAATTTGTTTTCACGCTATACCTATTTAGTTGTTTTGATCTTACACCTAGCTTCTGTTATTTTTTTTGTTTTTAGACAGAAATTTTGGGAAGGTTATCTTGCAAGAATCTTGCAAGATCTTGCAAAATAACCTCCCTTGATCGACTAGGGTAACAATTTCGGTTTTTACTCCTGGCAATATGAGCTTTTTTCCTTCAATCAAACTGTTCATAACTTCTATCATACGCTTAAGAAATATTAATTGATCTAAAAACTTACAACATATTATTGATTATTCTGAGTTCAGTCCTAGGCTCTGATGCGAAATTTTTTTTTCTTTTTTAGATCAAGTTTGACCGAGGCTTTCAGACATAGTTTACCAGTTACGTCAACTTTTTATTCATATTCATATAACTAATTTGGTTGACATTCAATTAAATTTATTGTAGTAACTTTTTTAAGCCTTGATAACCCTAGTCGATCAAGGGAGGTTATCTTGCAAGATCTTGCAAGAACCTTGCAAGACTCTTTTGAAGAGGATTAATATCATTAAAAGATCTTGCTAGATTCTTGCACAATCTTGCAAGATGACCTCCTTGGAAGACAACCTTTCTTAAGCAAGATCCGAAAAAATACAATTAATGGGCAAAAACAGCTTTACACGCGAAGACAACCAAGTAGCGTTCGTGGAAGAAGGAATCAATCTTAGCTACGCATACATACACACAGCTCGCTAGCCGGTTGCCCCCAGAAAGCTTAATCTCTCAAAACAGTAAAACACAAGTTACATCAATTGAGAACATAAATTTAAAGAAATAATTACAAGCAAAGATTAGAACAAGATTAAGTTTTTTTTAATTAAGTTTTTTTTTCACACAATACGTCAATCGAGATGAACTGATGGATTCACCATTAAATCTTCAGGAGACTCATTTGAGAAGAAGTCGTTTGTGATGACAGATTCTCCTTCCTAGAACATAGGCGATCGAAGGTTGCAAAAGAGTAATGACCGCAATTAAATATACAAAAAAAACTGACGTTGTTCAAAAAATCTCAACTTTCAAAACTCAAAGACAAACATAGACGCCCTTTAAGCTCTTTGAACTTATAGAACGATCTATACTAGAGCTTTTTTAATAACATTAGCCAAACTTGGGAAAACTGGATCAATAGGTAAAAATTTTTTTCTGCTGGAAATCTGGAAATTAAATTCCACTCTCGAAACTACGAATTGTTCACGAAATTTTGCGCCATTTGCAAGCTCATCTTTGAAGAGTGCTTTTTACGTCACTTTCAGCAAATGAACTTCAAGTGATCTCAAAAAGTGCATATATAACTGAGTGCATCAATATTTTAAGACTTTTACCTGAAAAAAAAACTAGCAAGACCTATATAAAAGACTTCGCTACGTTGATTACTCTTAAAAACAAATGAGGGAGTCTTTAAGTCATGCCGCCAAAAATAAATACGGAAACGTTATCAAGACAGAAAAAAAGCAACAACAGCACGAAAAAAAAATAAGAACCACTCAACCCCCATGGATTGCATTTTTGTTCCCTTATGAGGCCAAACTGTGCACTAGTTAGGTGCACGTTTTTTTGTCTGCTTGTTCCTAATTTCCAGAGACAATCCTTCAAAGCCTGTTAAATTTTTTTCGGAAAGATCACAGAGAAAGAAAGAACAATAGATGAACAAAGGTAGCATCTTTGTTGCGAATCCCCTTAGAATTCGCAAAATACACAGTTTGGTCTCGTAATGTTTTAGGAAAAATATATGTTTTTTTTTCAATTAAAGTATGATTAAATTGACATAAATTCAGACTCAATAAAAAACTAAAAAATTAATTGATCAATTTTTTTTCGATTGGAGAAACAAATTAAATTCTGAAATTACTTGAATTTTTTTTTTGACTTTGGGAAAATTTGAATCGTTCAAAACAGAACACATATGATTCATCGAGAGCACAATCTGCACAAGTTTTAACAATTGAAATTAACAGTTATGAATAAAAAATTAAATTTTTCTTCAGAGCAACTCAACAAAGTTTTGGGTTCTCATTCTAGAATGAATTTTTGATTTTGCACCTAGTTTCTGTTATTTTTTGTTTTAGACAGAAATTTTGGGTGGTTATCTGGCAAGAATCTTGCAAGATTCTTGCGAGATAGTCTCCCTCTTCCAAGATTCTTGCAAGATAACCTCCATCTTGCAAGATCTTGCAAGATCTTGCAAGATAACCTGCATCTTGAAAGATCTTGCAAGACAACAGTCTTTTGCAAGAATCTTGCAATATCATGCAAGATAACCTCCCTTGATGGACTAGGGAAAATACTGGATAGCACGCAATGATTATTTCTAACTTTGAGAAAATTGTCTGCAAATCTTAAGGGTCGGTTCTTTCTTTCAGAATATTTTGACTAACTTGAAGCAGTTTTATTGTTACATCTGGACAATTAAAATACTTTGAGCGCAAACACAAAAAGAATTTCACATGCAAGGTTGTTTGAAAAATCTGACACGAAATTTTTTCTTGTTTAGGAGAGTCGAATGCCGCCGTTGTTTTGTTTCAAAAATGAGTTGAACCAATCCGGCTCCGAAATAATTCCATATTAACCGAAAACTACTATAAAGATATTCGAAACACTTAAAAATTCGCTCCCATTTCAGCAATCTCAAAATCAAATAGTCAAAGTTTGCTGATGTTGCGCCGTTTTCCATGCACCAAATTCTAGTAATTTGGTTGTTTTTGATCAAGCAAACAAAAGGCAGCGAAAAGTGACTAGATAAAATTTGACATTCGAAACTATTTTTACCTGTTGCCTTCTCCTAAATATGTCAATTTCAAAGAAACTAAAAACTTCAGCGATCTGAACTAAGAAACGTTTAGGAATTCTTTAAACTAAGAAACTTTATGGAATACTTTTCAATAAACATCTATTCAAAATTGAAAACACATAACGAATTCAAGTTCTCTTCCGTTGTCATGAGTTAATTTGTTCAAGTTGCGTTGCTTCTTCAGAATCAAATTTCTTCACGATTTGAATTGGTTTTCACAGCATTGACTTCTTTGCGATATATGCGTTGCAGTTTGGACAAGAATGGACAGCGTCTTTGCACCCGTCAATGCAGAGGGGAATGAGACAGCATCCGCACCAGAACCCAAGAAGCAAAATTACTCCCGCGATCAGCCAGGTACCCATACCTGAAAAAGAAACATTGCTTTTAATTATAAGAATGAGTTTCAAATCTCCATCTATTTTTGACAAAAAAGCTTCTCCAAGCGTTTCGGGAGTGCCTGGAAATCTTTTTTGCCGACCTAAAATAATTAAAGTCGAAAAATGTTCCCATGAGAAAATCGAAAACAGCGGTTGTGCATGTTTTCAGATTATCAGAACAAGTTTGATAAGGTTTTTTGATAATGCAAGATGACAAACTCATGAAAAAATATGTTAGCTCAACGCTAGAAGCAAAACGATTTCTCGAATCATCATACACCAAGAATTTGTAGAGTACCCCATTGGAAAAAATAAGCTAATAAAAATATGCCCTTAAATCCGCAGTTATTGCGTGTTTCACAGGTAATGTCTACAAATCTCAGATCGCTCTTTATTTTCTCAGATCGAAACTTTTAACTGAAACAGTTCTACAAAAGAAAACAAAAATTAGCATTTGAAAACAGAATAATGTTTAATAGCGTATTATGTGTTTGATTCGGATGTTTTTTGGTGTTTTTGAGTCAATGTAAACTTTTACAGAAAAGTGGGATAATTGAAAACTTTTTTCTCGACCATTACGGAAACACGCCTGTGTGAAATCAAAATCGTTCAAGTTAATTTTTTTGAGCGAGGCATTTGGCAATATGTAGGTAGAGATATATTGCCACATGACTTGTTCAAAGTAATGGGGTTCACAATATTTACAAGAAATTTTATAGAAATTGATTCTCAACTCAGTGAAGATATTTGAATAACCCGGGTTGACCAAAAACGCTTATCATACTATTTCATATTAGGAAAAAAAATCCTTCTAATAATATTTCACACTATTTCAAACATCAAAAAAAGACTAATTAAATAGCAAGAAAAGTAATTTTTCCATACTATGAAATAATAAAAAAAGCATTTATTTCCACATTCTGGAATTTATTAACATGCGTTTTGCCTTACTTTTATCACAAAAATTTTATCAAATTAGCAAAACCAATTTTTTTTTCTAAAAAAAGGTATGATAAGCTTTTTTCGTATATGAAATTGTATGAAACAAACATATTTTCAATGAATGAAAAATTTTTAAAAATTTTGCTTTGAATTTTTTGTTTCATCCAAAACACTAACCAAGGATTTTTTGTTATAAGGAAAACCAGAGTGTGACTGGAAGTTCCCACGGAGATAAACTGCATTTGGTGATTTTAGCCGTGTAACTTAATTTCAACATTCTCACATATATTTAGCCAATTAAGTAACAAAAATGTACTTTTTTCTATGTGGCTAGATAATTTTTAATTTGAAAACTTTGGTGATTGAAAGAAGCCTGTTTTTTACAAATTTATATCTACCTTAGCATATGAAATCAAAAAATCATTATAGTGTTTTTTAAAAAAAAACTTTTTTGGTGATTTTTGGTTTTTTTTTGGAGAACCGCATTTTTCCCAAAGACGCCGTGTAAAAAATTGTGTGATAAGGGTTTTCCTTCTACGGACGTCCACCAGGGAAAAATCGACAATTTTCAAATGTTTTATTAGCATTATTTTGAAACTGTTGATTTTCAAAGTTTGCCAATTAACCAGTTTTTTTCAAGAGAAGCCCATGTTCTCAACAGATCGCCCATTTTTGTTTTTAAAAAAGTCTTGTTAGAACTGACAATGGAGCAAGAAAAAGTTGAATTATAGACGAATCAAGATATCAGATCATTTAACGGTAACACTTCAATTCGCTGGAATTTTATTTATAAAAAGTATTGACGAGACTGCATTTTCAAAGGCAAAAAACAAACAGATAAATTTTGTTTTGTGACTTCTAATTTTTTTTTTGCACGCAGCACCGAAAACTAAAAGCTTTTACCAGATCATTTTAATTCGAATCGATAAATGTCAATTTACCATTTGCAGATGATTCAGTAGGTCATTTAGATTTTTTATATCGAAAAAGCTTATTTTCTCTACAATTTTTTGATCAATAATAATGTCATATGTGCCTGAATATGACATTTATTGTTAGTACGACAATAAATAATAAACTAGATTAGTAATACAAACTAGACCACAACAAGTGAAAAACTGAGAATGTAGAAGAGAGCAAACACTACCAGTATTTTTACCTATCTCATAGTTGACGCTTGTAGTTACTGTGGCTCTGCAGTGGGGACACTGGATTGTTGCCGGATTACTGCCCAGACTCGGATAACCGCCTCCCACCAACACAGTTGTAGTCCTGCAAAAGAGACCCAAATCTTTTTAAAGTTGTGTTTAATTTTAAAAAAACGCTGGCAAACAACTCGATCAAAGTTATTATAAAGCCTGCTCGAAGATTTCAGCGGTAGTCAGGAGAAAGGCTTTGGGCGTTACGTCAGGTTCAAACAGAGCTCCTGCCTTGAGGTTTTTAGTTTCACTCCGACAGCCGTACTTTTGTTTAGATCATTTCGATGGTTTTGATCAGTATTTGCAAAATTCAGGGCTTTGGTGCGTCTTGCTTGAAGTAAAAACAGGAAACTAAGACATGCATTACAAAACCGACAATAAGTTTTTTTAAAAAAATGTTAAACAGCCCCACAAATTTTTTTTTAATTAGGCTTTTTCTGTTTTTGTTTGGCACTTACTGGTAATTTCCAGTGTACTGGAATGTTGCGGGCTGTTGATGAGGAGGCTGTCCGTAAGGTGGAGGTGGCTGGCTGTAGCCTGAATTGTAGCTTCCAGGTGGAGCACTTGCTTGAGTAGGATAACTCGACATCACTTTTTTGAGTAAAGTTGGAATCTGTCAGTTTATAACTTATTAAAGCTGTATAAAATGTGAAAAGGTCAATGCCGTTTTCTCGAAGATATTATTTTTTGTATAAAAACATTTGTATCTTTTTGGATATAATCACACTGATGAATATTTGTTTTTTATAGTATCGGTTTTGTATCAACCAGATCAAAGAAGGTCGGGGTTTTCGCAACCCGCACTGGCTTGATTCGTAAGTGAACACAAAAAATTCACCAGATAATTTTTTCTTTTATGACACTTCTATCTAAGTCTTAGGTATTAAATTTCTCTGGCTGACAGATATTTTTTAAAATTCTGTTTTCTCACCAAATGATGAGTTGGAGATGGTAAAAATGCCGATTTTATTATTTGAAACGTATTTGGATGGAAAACAGCAATGAAAGCTTATGTGTTACTCTTTGTTGGTAAAATTTTCTGGCCAACTACGTTTGACGCAGAGTAATTTTAGAAAAAGATTTTATAACGTCACAAAAAGAAAAGAAACACGCTCTTCTGTTACGTTTTTGGCAAAAAAAAATTCTTCACTTTTCAAAGGCTGCTTCGATAATGTTGTGAATTCGACGTGCTATTAAACATTGCTGATAGATTTATTTTTATTATTTTACTTGCTGAGTGTGAATATGCAATTAAGTTTTTGTATAGCATGCGACTTTTCTATTACTACATGATCAAAAATTAATGACAGAATTATACATAATTCAAATGAGCAAACCAAAAATGACAATGGATTTAACAAATCTCAGTCTGACGACTCAAAGCAAGGATTATACACCTCTTCAAAAAAGAAAAAAAAACAATTCGTTTGTTGAAAATCAAGTATTTGAAATTAAAATTAAAATTTGAAAAGTTAAAAAGCAAAGTTATTGATCATACAATGTAATATAAAAATGAAATTGGCCAAATAAAATTAATTTTAACCCAAGTTATTTTTCAATAGACTGCCACAAATTAAACTTGTTGGTAAAACTTTAAATACAAAAAAAAATAAAATTCAACATCATGGTTTGTATATTAAAGCATTTTTCATTACACTATATTATTGTATAACGTTCCATATAGGAAAAGATCCCAAGAAACAAGAAACTTTTCTATAATTGTAATATTATTCCGAAGCGTGAAGATGCGATTTTTGAACGATGTTTCTTCAGCTGATGGTTTGGGTGTTCTCCTTTCCTCTCGTACTGAATTTAGGGCGGTTGCCACGTATTTTACTGTCTTACTTATTTGTTTCTCATGTGATTCTATTAGTTGGTTTGAGATTCCCTTAAACACAACCACTGTCAAATTGAAAAACTCAACACGAGTGCAATCAATATTAAAAACATTTTGCAGTATTGGCTTTCTTATTGGAAAGCAATTTTTCGTGCCGCACGCAATTTTTCATAGAATAACTTTAATTTCCTGTTGATAAATAAGTGTTTAATCAGTCGAACTTCGAGTTACTTTACAAATGGTTTGTTTAACGGTGCTTTCTTTGTTCAATATAGAAAAAATCCAGAGTTTGTTATATTTGCCTCATTCACTGAAAAAAGTTGACTCTGTTTTTTACCTTTCAATTTTAAATTTTAAAGAAAGCTTTTTGAATCTTAAGAAAATGACGCCACAATTTTCCATCTGGTTTAAAACTGGATCCGTTTTTTTTTTGTTTTTCTATGAACAGTCTATCGTATATCATCAACGTATTGAACAACCATAGAGTAATTTGATGCTTGTTAATTCGTATCACTATGATTTGATCGAAGATGAGTAGTCCTGGTACTGATTCTTGCCGGACACCTTCAAACAAATCAATCTAATCAGATTTCAGGTTGTTTACAAATTAGTTTTTGTTGTCTGTTGATTGCAAATTGTTCAACGAGTCTTATCAGTTGAGAGAGTTATATTTTCTAATTTTAATTTATTTTTGTTGTGACTCATCTTTCCAAATGTTTTGGAAAGATAAAGTAGAAATAGAACAACTATTTTTTCTGTGATCAATCAATTTTCGAAATGATTCAGTGTAAAATTATTGTGCATCTATAGTTGAATACGATACTCGAAAACCGAATTGATTTTTGTTGATACGATTTTCGTTCACTGTTGACGTATCAGCAGGAAGTTTTATTGGCCTATAAGATTTTTGGTCTCTGATTTATGTGTTTTTTGTAATTGGCGCATCAATAAGTTTTTCATGGTTGATAGAAAAATTTTAACAAAGTCATTCAGACGGAATCGTTTATGCTATCATCAGTGCCCTTGCGGGTATTTCAAAAGTTCATGGTTTTCTAATTTTTTTTTCTAATCTCAATTCTTTCTTGCCTTCCAAAGATGTAAGAATCTATAATGGAATAATTTATCTTCAAGTGATTTCTCGCTGCAATTAAGTGCTGCAATTATTTTGTTTATTTATAAATATTAAAATTAAAATTATTAATATTAAAAAATAAGTTTGTCGATAAGTAAGTTTTGGAGTGTTTTCCTTAAAAAACAATCCTAAAACAGGAAATAATTAAATTTACTCATTTTCTTAATTGTCTGTAAGTTCATCTCCAAAGACTATACAGAGAATAGATCTCTTGAGTTTCTGGGATCACTTGGCGTTTTCCAGCGTCGCAGGTAGTTTTTGAGCGTTTCAAATAACGTCTTATTGCAAGAGTCAATTTTTAGTGTGATTCTGTTGTCTGGTGTTTACTGTTTCTATTAAACACTGTTTTTGCTGGTGCACAGTTTTTCAAACATTGTATTAAACTTTGAAAGAACTTGGACTATTTTTCCTTTTTTTGCTTATCCATGAAGAAAATCTTCATTAGTTTTCATTTAAATTGTTCTGCAATCTTTTATGTTTTTAAATCGTAAATTTTCCAGTTAAAAGTAATTTCGGACTTGTTTTATTAGAGATTTTAAAATGAAGATTTATTTTATGTATAAAACTCAGGGAAACTCATGAGCCCAACTGATTATGTGATCAGTTGGGCTCCTTAACTAGGTTGAATTGGAATGAGTTTCTTTCGAACTTTAATCTTATTTTTATCTTCAAAAAGAAGAAGAAAAACTTCTTGGGATAGAAGCAAGTAGTATGAACAAAATTCTCCTTGCTCGAGACAAAAAAAAACTTTCCGGGTTGAGGACCGCTGGTCATGTTTAAACGCTTTGAAGGAACGCGCCAAACTTCATTCCTCTTTTTGTGAACATAATGTCATTGTTTGGTCAGTTTTTTCTAGAATAGCCCACAAAGCTTAGACAGCTGAATAAACTGTGAAAAGATCTGATCAAAAGCTTTCGATTGAGTCCGTCCTGACTTTCTTTAAGTGTTGAATCAAGATTAAATTTATATCATTCACAATGATGATTTTTAGAAAAAGCACTGAGACGAGTTTGTAAAATTGAACCAGCAAGGGTTGATGATATAATTTTTAATAAATTTAAAAGAAACAAAGTGGACAGCGCGAAATTTCTTCAGCCTCAAAGTAGTCTCAGGTTGTCGAGAAGCTTCAATCAAAAGAGTAAAACACAGCCATAAAACACAACAAAAAAACTTGCGAAACTGGTGATTCAAAAATTTTACCAGTAATGGTATAATAAAAATTTGGGATTTTTTTCCGCTCACATAAGAAATGCTTTTTTAAAAAAAAAATACTTAGTTTGTTTTGGCTGTTGATTTATAATTTCTTTCAGAATTCCTTACGAGGCCAAATTGCACTAAAAAGGCGCCCAATTTGCTGCCTGCGTGACAATGGAATCCGGGTAAAAGCTTGTATCTTGTTCCAAAATGCAAATGGTTGTCACCAACAGGTTTTCCATAGATTCTGCGTTCAGATACACAAACCACTGATTCCAGTATTATTTTGCCTACCAATTCTGCTTGAAGTTACTTCAGTCCCGACTGCAGTTTTTTCGAACCCACTTATATTTGCGAAAACCTCAAAAAGGTAATTTTAATATACACATTCTCCTTTTTAGCATTGGTCTCTACAAATATTTCTGGTTTGCGCAAACTCAGTTGCTGATTCCGCTAGTTTTCTGAGGTTTCTTCAAATTTTGTTGCGGACTCCTGTTTTTGGAGCATAATTCAACAATACAGTGTTAAGGCTTCTCGTTTGCAAAATATATATCACCAAAACATTTCAATGTTTTTTTGAGTTTCCATTCCCAGCAATTTGAGTTTTTTCCATAATGTTTTTTTTAATTAAGAATTTTGATCCCCTCGGCTCAAAATAAACAACTACGGCTCGAAAAAAGCCTCTGCCCAAAAAAAAATATCTGCAAAAAAATGTTTGAGAAATTTCGTTTTGGGCTGGAAAAGAAACATGAATAACTTTGGGGCATTTTTGAAAACACTTTTTAAGTTTATGAAATTGTCATCAGAAAATGCTGGTTATACAATTCCCAGTTAAGACTCGATTTAAAACTCGATAACTCCAATTTAGCAAAAATGTATCAAACTTGTTTGATTAAAATTTTTTCATAGACCTAATTTTTCTGTCAGCAACTTACTATTTGACTAGCTTTTTTTGGTCTGTGAACGTCAACCCGGAATCATAGTGCTTTAAGCTATAAAATTTTGTTCATTTAAAATTGTTTGTCAATTTTTCTGTAACCAAACGACTCTGAGATACTTAAGAGGAGAACCGAGCAGCTAGGTTTTGCACATATAGCTTCTCATGTCATGTTAATATCCTCGCAAACAGACATAAAGAATTGTGATTTATAGGTTCAATAAGGTTCACGGGAAGCTGACGCGCTTGAACTACAATAAACGCCGTGAAAATTGGCAGACAATACTGAAAATTTTTCTTGGCCGGTTTTTTAAAAGTCATATCTGTTCTGAAGAGACAAATATTTGAAAAATTTAGTGCTTAAAAGAGAAAAATGGACAAAATTTGTTTACAAAATAACTAAATAACTGTTTTTGAGAATTCTGTACAAGAATTGAAGCAGAAACTTTTTGAACTTTTCTGCTGGAACAAATTTTTTGCTTATTTAGACCCTGGCCCCGCCGCTGCTTTTGACGCCAACCTCTACCATTTATTCCTCTCTCTCATTCATTTTGAGCCTATAATTTCAAACTCCTTGCGCTGTTTCCAGACCAAAAACAACTCTGAAAAAAAAGTTTTCTATACAGGTTATTCTACGCCATCAAAAACGATAACCCGAATTTTGGTCACACAAGCGTCTTCCGAACAGTTTTAGATACAATTTATCTAGCAAATGTCAAAAAAACTGTTTCTTTGTTTGTTGTAAGGAAAAAGTCGCAACTTCAAGCAACTTCAAGGTTTTGGGACTGTAGGTGTCATATTTGGCAGAAATGGTAGTGCTACCTTTAGCCGAAAAAAAAACCACATCAACCATAAATGTTTTGCACTTGAAATGCTAGATATACCTCTCATAACTTTTGGTTCAGCATAAGAGTAACAAAAAGTACTCTCAGAAATCGTTTCCATAGGTTTACGCAAATGTCTAGCCACAAACATCTTTTCGATGACATTGAAAAATTAAATATTTAAAAACAGTTGGTCAATGATACGATC